AATATTAATTAAGTATTTAAAATTTAAAGTACTTAAATAATATTAAATATAAATACTTATTAAGTACTAGCATTTGGTAAAGCAAGGGTTGTATTGAGTTAAACTTTATGATGTAGTTATACAGAGAAATGTAAACTAGTATTAAGCAATACAAACTCTAGATAAGTTCTTATAACTATATAAATTTGTAAAAATTAAGAAACAAAAAGCCTATTTAGAAAGATTTTAGCAAAAAAATATACAGATTTTTAATAATACTATTGTAAAGTCTAAATTTAAAAAACAGATATCAATTTAAAATATGCAGATAGGCAAAAATTTCCAAATAAAAAGTACTACCAATTAGGCTATTAGAATTCTAATTAAAAAAACTAAAAAAAAAGATATTAAACCAACCTAATATACTAATAAACTAATTATAGTTCTATATAAATAATTAAATTAGAAGTCTAAAGAAAAAATAAAGATATATTAAAATATTAGAGATATACTGTAAAGTAAATGCTAGAGTTCAGATAAACTCTATAAAGGCATAATAATTTAAGATTAATTTTGACTACAAGTATTAGTTCAGCAATAGTAATACTTGAATTAGCAATAAAATAGATATATAATAAGCTTAAAAAAGCTTACTTTAAAAATAAAATATTTTAAAATTAAAACAAAGATTCAAATTTAATTTAATAAAATTAATATGAGACAAGTTTAAAAGATATAACAACTTAGTAAAGTGAATAAGTTATCAATCTTTCAAGTAATAGATTGTAAATTTAAAAGCTATTGATAATAAAAATTTAAATAATCACTTATATAATATATAGATAATATTATAATGTTATTATTTTGTTAATTAGTTAAAATAAGATACTTAGAAAACAGATACCAATATAAAGAAATCAGACAGACAAAAATCTCAAATAAGAAATATTACTAACTAGCTTATTGAAAGTCTTAAATTAGAGAAAAAAAATATTAAATATCATAACTCTAGTATATCAAGAACAGATCATAGTTCTTTTAGTCTATTTAAATTAAAAGTTTGATATCAAAAACAGAAGTATACTATAAGTACTAGAGATATATTATAAAATAAATACTAGAGTTTAAATAAACTTTGCAAGAATAGGCCTTGTTAATAAGAACAAAATATAGATAGTTAGTTAGCAAAAAGACTTTCTAAAGTTCTACAATTAGATGATATATTCTAAAATATATAATAACTTAACAGATATATATACAGAAAGACCAAGATTAAGTTAAATAACACTTAGACATATAGAAACTTGTGCACTATCTGTCAGATATAATATAGAAATTAAAGTATTTAATTAGATAATTTCCTAGCAGATTATAGATATAGCAGTTAGTATAGAATCTGTAAGCAAACTACTTAAATAAATAGCCAAAAATTATATATATAATGAGTTGTATACTTCTTTTATACAAGTTATGTAACTATAATTAAATTATAGTAAAAACAATAATTACTAATAAGAGTGTAGTAACTTAGTGAAATAAATAAGTTGTTATCTTCTCAAGTAATAAGTTGTGAGTTCAAAACTCACTAATAGTAAAATTTGGATAATTACTTATATAATATATAGACAGTATTACAGTGATAGTATTTTGTTAATCAGTTGAAATAGGATACTTGTAACTATAATCATATCAGCATGACTGGCAGGTCTGAGACATCTGTGTAACTTGTTATATAAAGAAATGCAAACTGGTATTGGGCAATACAAATTTAAAATAAATCCTTAGCTTATATAAATCTGTAAAACTGAGAAGCTGAAGCTTACTTAGAAATTCTGAGCAAAGAGGTAATACTAACCTTTGATAATACTACTATAAAGACTAAATCTAGAAAATAGATATTAATGTGAAGGAATCAAGCAGACAAAAACTTTGAGTAAGAGATACTACCAACTAGACTACCAGATTTCAGATTAGAGAAAAAGAATATTAAGCTGGCCTCAATATATCAAGAACAGATTACAATTTTTCAGACTATCTGAATTGAAAGTCTGAATTCAAAGTAGAGGTATACTAAAAGTATTAGAGATATGCTATAAAGTTAGTACCAAGGTCTAGATGAACTTTGTAAGAATAACCCTTATTAATGTTCTAAAAGTATATAGATAATTAACAATAGGGAACTCTCTATGCCTTATTGGCAGATGATATATTCTAAAATGTGTAATAGCCTAAGAACTAGTACAAAAAGAATAGGTACCATATTGCTCAACCAGTATACTGGTTAGGTATATATGAAGGATTAGTTGAGGTTACATTATAACAGAACAGATGATCAGAAAGTTTAAATAAATAATCTCCTAGTAGGTTATAGGTATGACATCTATGTAAAACCTTAGGATAAACTACTTAAATAAACAACCAAAAGTTGCATATATGACTAGTTGTACTCTTATTTCTGTAAAAATAGTTGTAATAACTAATCTAATAAAAGTTAATAAAGTATTGCTACAAAGTATGTTCTTTAAAAAAAAAATAATAATAATAATAATTGCTAATAACCAATAATCTTAATAAAAGCAAAAAAATATATATAAGACAGGTTTAAAAGGTTTAAAATAACCTGCGGGTTAATAGTACAGTGGTCAGCACTCCCAGGTCGTATTCACAAGATTGCCAGTTCAATTTCAACTAGGAGAAAAAAAAAGCTGTGCCAGGACCACGATTGTTATGATCTTAAGAGGATTTCTTATTTCTACTTCCAGACAAGAATATTACAAGAATGAATGATCTATGGGGATTGCCTACTTCCAATTTTGGACAAAGTACTATAGCAAGAACAAGTCGTGTGACATAGTCATGGGGTTACATGATGCCCAAATAAGGAGATAATCTGACAAGAAACATCAATAATATAAGGATCCCAGATTAGAAAATTATCATAAAAGGCAATAGAGATAAGGAGACGAAACCTAAAGAACCATTGTTGATAAGAAACTGCGAACTCGAGTAAGGGGTTCTACACTGCAGGGCCAGGGACCTGAGTTATCACGATAGTGATAAACTTGTTAATAATGTAGTATGGTGGAGCTAGGGAACACCATTAGTGATGTACGTAACAACTAAATATGTAAACCTGTAGGTTCCAAACATTAAAGTTAATAAAGAAAATTAGAGTGCCACACGTGCCCCATGATGTAATACATCAGGGATAGTTAAAAAAAAAAAAAAGATTTAAAATGAAACATCTAAGCAAGAATATTAGGTATAACAATTGGTAAGAAACATTAAGCAAACTTCTTAAATAGATAATATAAAAAAGTTATATAAATAATCAATTGTATACTCTTTCTGTAATAACTACAGAATTACATTTTCAAAAATGTATTAATAAAGTTAAAAGACCAAAGAGGTCACCTTAATATCAAAAAAAAAATCTAATCTATCAACAAAATAATTAATATAACACAGATTAATTTTCAAATTTTCATTATTTATAAGATTTGAATACTAAATCTGCTACTTGAAGGTTGACAACTTATTTAATATTCTAAATTATCACATCTTTAAAACTTTATAAAAAAATATTATATAATTATTTAATATATAAATTTTATTAAATCAAATAAACTATAAACTTGTAATATAAAGTATCTAAAAAACAAGTAAACAAATATATTTATACAGTATATACTATATGAAAGTAAGTTAATAAAATTAAGCAAATTGGTTTTATTAAATTTTTTTAAAGCTTTAAATGCTAATAACTTAACAAAAATTTTTTAAATAAATTCTATAAGTTTGTAAAATTTATTTTAAAAAAATTTTATTAAATTTGATTAAGTTGTTATTAAGTTATTGTTATTCAAAAAAAATTTGCTTAATTTCTATTAACTCAACCCATGTAGTGTTTAATAATTATTTCTGTTAAAAGTTTCTTTAGTAGATCAGCTTAGTACAAATCGACTAATATACGTATATAATAATAATCTGATAACTTTTTTAAAAGAAAGCTAGACTTATTTAAAATGTTAATGTTCATAAAATATTCTTTTATATTAATTAAGTACATATTAAATGCATTATTGTTATCAGATATTAGGAATGTTAAATACCAGATAAACATTATTGTTATCAGATATACTCGATTGCATTAACACATAAATATCAGATATAGGTATCATGTGGAAACAATTGATATTGCCCGCGTAAGCTAAGCCATTGAATCGAATCTTTATATAATTGTGGATTGTTTATTTTCTGTCGCCATCAAACTCTTTCCTAAAATTATATTTTCTTGGACCCAAACTGTCTTATCGCTCAAACTGGCACTGAAGACTAACATAATGGAAAGACAACCTGAAATAATTCTCCAGTGCCACGAGGAGAGCAAGATTGTTTGGTTTCCAGACTTGATTGACAACTCTCTGCGGTCATCTGTATTGTCGGTTGATAAATCCAACGAAATAGATAATAGATATTCTCCTTTAAATGATAACCTGTTCCTTGAAAATTTTATTATTCGAGATTCAAAAGGGTTTTTAACACATTTAGAACGCGAGTTACGCCCGATACCAAAATTCTATGCATTAGTGACGCCAATAAATATATCAAGTGATGGAACTGTTACCACTAAAGATGCCAACACAATTATCGATATAGATGCAAGCAATTCTTTTGTACAAGGCGAAGTTAAGAAGCCTGTAAGACAAAGACAAAGAAAGGCTAGTGCAAAGGCCGGTAAAAATAAAAGTTTGACTGAAGAAAAAACAGAAAATCATGAACCAACTCGTAGGTTGACAAAGAAGCAAACAGCATCGAACGGAGAAACTAAGACAAGAAAAAGATTAAAGACAAATTTTATTGCTGAAGACGAAATGTCCACGATGATTTTGGGATATGAAAATAAAAGCAATAAAAATCACGAAAGTGTTGACATCATAGAAACTGGAACAAGGAGACGAACAAAAGCCGTATCAACTAAAAAGCGGACTACATCCACCAACAAGAGGGTCACGCAGAAGGTCGTTTGTGATCTTAACTCTTCTCTATTTACTTCAAATTTGTCATCTTTGTCATCAAGTGGCGAATCTCTTTGTGAGGACCTTAACTCTCTTGACCCTGAGTCTCTTACTGGCATTTCTTCCAAAAAATCTTCTACATCATTGCCTCCGACACCGGTTAAAGCAGGTAGCTTGAGTATGATATTAAATTTTGATAATATTTCACTTGAGCCGGCGCCAGCGGCTTCAATGCCTATTTCTTTGCCTTAAAAAAGGTTGATTCGTATGCGAAACGCCGTATCACGTGATCCACAATTTAAAGTCTCGCTTATAATAACGATATACTCTTTAAGAATGGCTCATGAAATTATCGCCTTGTTTTCGTTGATTTTTATAGATTACAATACATCTTCTTTATTATACTTGGAATATAGGAATTAATATCATTTCCTAAAATCCGAAGCTGGAACAATAATAAAGTTGCATGTAATTTTTTTTGTTCAAAATTGAATGCTCCATTGCATAAAATTGATTTTCTACTAACGCTAAATAGTAACTATGTATAACAGACATTATTATCACTTTTTACAAATTTCTTTGTCGAAAATTTCGCCTTCGATTTGAACTATTAAATTTTTGCACTTTCTGGATGGATTCTTTTCTACTCTTACATTTCGGGAGTCGTTTCATTTGCAATTTTAGTACAACTGAACCTCGCACTAAATTAACCGTATTAATATGCCATAAATCGCTACGTATAGTAACTGGATGTTTTCTTTTTTATTATCGTTATGTATAACTTATATATAAACTAACAATCAATAGACCCGACTCTTTACATTCCACCAATTTTAACCTGGTATGGACTCTGAATACAATACAAGGGGTCTGCTGTCGAGGGGTTTTATATGGCACTGTCAAAAACGGGTGATAATGAATAAATCTTAAATGGTGCTTCTCATTTTGTGGGCAATCATTTCAGACAATTTTAAATCACAGACAATTAATTGCAGACAAGACTATTTTACAGACGATTAATTCATAAACAAGTCCATCTCATAGACGGTTTACTTCATCAATAGCTTATATCACAAAGTAATTTTAATCGTTGTATCGTTAAGGTTAAGTTTAGAATTAGAGTTAAGGTTAGTGCAATTCGTAAAATAAGCTGTCGACAAAACTGTTAGTGAAATAAAAGAGTATGTCTGAATTAATCTTGTCTTTGAATTAATTGTTCGTAAATTAAATTGTTTATTAAGTGACTGTTGGTGAAATAATATGGATCTACTATTCTACTATCGCTATTCAAAATATAAACGTAATGTACTATTTGTAGCTTAATCATTTGGTTTATATTGAAGCTTATTACAAACAAATATGATTAATCTTTTTATTAGTAAAGAAATAAGGGTTAGATTTAAAGAAATCAAGTTAATATATTGTAATTAGTGTTCCGCAGACCCATAGTTCGGGTCCGAGTCTATGATTTTTCTGACCCGGGTCTTTATTTGAAATAAGTTGATTGGATTCGGTCCGGGGTTTCGGGTCGGATATCGAGGTAGGACCGTCCATGTTACATGAGCGATCCCAATTGATAAAAATATTTTTTTTATATACGTTTTACAATACTTTTTTCGGAAGCTCGGGTAGATTATCTCTTTTGTGAAACAGACAAAGTGCACTAAGTGAACTTGAAGTTTTGCTTCATATTCATTAAATCCTTTTGAATTCCACTGCTTTCATATTTTTTTATTTGCTAAAGCATATCTAAAATTGGGAAATGTCCTACCACCGAATCAAAGAAATTTTGTTTACTAGAAGAAGAAAAATGAAGAAAAGCTAAACAGAGAAGATTAATAAGAGATAAGTGAAATGAGAGTATTATTTTGTGTAATAAATATTATATAAATTATGTTATAAATATGTTAAAAAGAACTGTTAAACAAATAAAAATTTAGTTCAAGAGGTAGAATCTATTAGAGAAGAAATGCAGATTCCAGTTAACAAAGATATAGAAGTTGTAAATAAAGAGATAGGTATAGTAGATTTTATTGGAGTTATTAAAACAATGGCAAGATCTTTTTATGATAAGAAATGTATAATAAATAAAATTTTTATATATTTATATGATGAATTGCAAGAAGAATTTCAAACTAATAAAAGTTTAAAAAATTTTTTTAATTAATTTTATTTGGCAGCTAGACCACTTGTATATACCAATCAAATTATAGATTATATAAAAAATTAATTATACATATATATTATTTTTTTGTATTATTAAATAATACAAAAATTAGGAATATAGTGATCTAGTGAAGTGATTAGGTTGTTAACCTTCCAAATGGTAGGTTAGGTGTTCAAATTTTATTGATAATAAAAAGTTGGATAATCATCTATATAATATTCATATTATGACAACTGTTATTAACAATTGGGTTAGAATATCTATAATAGTAGTTGCATTAGCATAACTGACAAGTTATAAGACATCTGTATAAGTATAACATTATATAGAGAAATGCAACCTGACAAATCAGATGATACAAACATTAGATAAGTTCTTGTAATCATATAAATTTATTAAAATTAGATAACAAGAAGTTCATTTAAGAAGACACAAATAAAGAAATAGTTAGATCTTTAACAGTACTACTGTAAAAGCTAGTCTAAAAAAATAGATACCAAGATCATAATATTTGGTCATAGTATTTAGATAGATAAGAATCTTTGAATTGAGAAAAACTTAAAGATACTACCAATTAGACCATTAGAATAAATCAAAGAAAAAGGATATTGGATTGATCCAATATACTAATGAACTGATCATAGTTTTATACAGACTATCTGAATTGAAAGTCTGATAAAAAGGTAAATAAAAAGACAGAAGTATACTAAAGTACTAGGATTATGCTATAAAATAGATGCTAAGGTCTGTGTGAACTCTACAAGAGCACAGTAGTTTAATAATTAAGTTCTGATTGCAAGTATTGGTTTTGCTATAGTGATATCTAGATTAGTTATAAAAATAAGTACAGAAGGTTCTGAAAGATTTATTTTAAGAATAAAATATTTTTAAGATTGAGATAATGTTCTGGATATTTGGAATGACCCAGTAATATTAATATAGATTGCAAATTTAGAGAGTTTAAAATAAAATATCTAAGCAGAGGTGTTAGATATAACAATTAGTAAAGAACTTTTAGGTAAACTTCTTAAATAGGTAATATAGAAAAGTTATATATGTAACCAATTGTATGCTTTTCTGTAATAGTTTATAGAATCATATTATCAAAAAAATCATTAATAAAAAGTCAAAAAACTAAAGAAAATATCTTAATATTAAAAAAAGAAAAAATAATACAAAATTTAATATTTTTAAATTCAATTTAGTATATTATTTGAATTTTATAGATATAAATAATAAAGGTTTGAATATGATAATAAATTTTGGTATAGTTATAATATTAAGAATAGTAAACTAAAAAAAATTTAAACATTTATGAAAAATATATAGAAAATATTCTTTTAAAATATTTGAATAAAGTATTTATACTAAATATTATAATATTCATATTTAATTGTAGTTTGATTTTATTAGTATATCTTGTTTAATATACATGACAACAATTATATCAAATCTATGTTTTATAGTAGTAATACTAAGTAATAAGATACTTAATCTAAAATTTCTTAATAATGATCTGATAAAAACATCTTGACAAATAGTTTATTATAAGACTTGGTATTTTTTATTATAAAGATTATTAAAATTATAAAGATAAATATTTTAATAATAAGCTTATTGAAAAACTAACTTTGCATAATTACAATAATAGGTTAATAAAAAAAGCAACTAATATATACAAGATACTGTTTTTTTAATTTTATTGAAAGTAATTTAAAGATAAAGATTAGAACCAGTTTTAAAATTTTAAGCTTATTATATTAAAATTTAAGTTTATTATATAAATCATTAATAATTGATATGATAAAGTCAAATTTTAATGTAATAAACTCAAATTTTTATGTAATAAACTTAAATTTTTTAAACTGATTTTAATTTCTATTTAAAAAGAATAAAAGATTATACAAAAGCTTTTTAAATTATATATAATTAAGCATTAATGCATTAATATCTTTTTAATTATATAATCTCTATTATTGCAAATTAGTCTAGTTAGTTCTTTATTTGCAAGACTATTATATACTAGCTTTTTCTAAATAATAAAATTATTTTTTTGTTTATTACATTATTTTTGTCTATTATATAACCTTTTTATATATTTTTAAATAACCAGAAACTTGTTTATAAAAAAAATTCATCTTTATTTACTAAAATTTATAAGAACATATGGGCTGTGTACTAAGAAAAGAGACCAAATTGATTTTTTTTTTGAAAAAAAGTTCTTAAGTAAAATAGATGTAGATTTGATCATCTGATTCAGAACATTTATTATTTTCAAAAAAATTTATTTATCAATTTGTTCCTTTTCTCAACATACAGCTCATATTTAAAAAAAATCTTAATACAAAGTTGTAGCTATAGTAAATTAATTTAATTCTCTATCTTATACATATAGTATGGCTTAATATATCTAATTTAGTTTATTTAAAATTTAGTCAAACATATAAGAATTTTAAATTTTTATATTTAACTGATCTTTTAAGTAATTTAATTCTTTTAGTTCTTAATATTTATGTGATGCACCATTAAAAAGATAACTAAACAGCTTATAAAAAAGCCTGTTTATATTATTAAAATAATTTATTTCTTTGATATAATTAAAAAAATTATAAATATGTTCTTTTATGTTTTTTTCAAATATATTTTTTTGAACAGATATCAATTATCTAATAATAAATATAATTACTAGTTATTTTGTATCTTTAAGTAATTATTTTATAAAAACTATTTATAGTATTATTTAATAATATACAACCAAATTTTTTATAGCAAATTAATTACAAAAAAAAACATGTTTTATGTTTTAAAATTAAAAAAATAATACATTTTATCAACATTTTATAAATTTTATAAAGCATTCTTATAAACTAAAATAATTATATATATTATTCTGCAAGTGTACTATAGTTCTTTAGAAATATATATGAAGCTTGTTATTTGTATTTTTCAATCATTGGTTTGTTTATTAATAGTATTAATATATATAAGTTGTCTTCTTTAGACTATAAAATAACTGACTATTACTTTTTAAATAGTTTTATTATTATTAAAAAACTATATAAAAATGTCTTGTATGATTATTTAT